TCAGTCCCTGTGCTCCCAAAAACCACCCTCCCTTTTTCATGTGTGCTCTGGAATGCCCGCTCTGTCTGTAATAAGCTCACCTCTGTCCATGACCTTTTTGTCTCCCGCTCCCTTAACCTACTAGCAATTACAGAAAGCTGGCTTCAAGCAGCAGATTCTTCTTCTCCCGCAGCACTTTCCTATGGAGGCCTTCTCTGGACACACTCACCCAGACCCAGTGGTCGGAAAGGAGGTGGGGTTGGTTTGCTTCTATCCCCACTGAGTACCTTTCAGTCCTCCCTAAACCTCCCTCTATATCCTTCTCTTCTTTTGAGACTCACTGCATTCGGCTGTTTTCTCCCATTTCTCTGAGGATTGCAGTGATCTATCGGCCTCCTGGAACGGTGTCCCGCTTTCTTGATGATTTCTCTGCCTGGCTACCCTACTTTCTCTCCTCTGAACTAGCCACTTGGAGATTTTAATATCCCCATTAATGTGAACAACCCAGCTACATCCCAACTCTTCAACCTAACCTCATCTTTTGCCTTAGCACAATGGACACAGTTCTCCGCTCACTCTGATGGGAATACATTAGACCTTGTTTTCTCCCATCGTTGCACTCCCTACAACCTCACAAACACCCCCTTTCTTCTTTCTGATCATAATCTCATAACCTTCACAGTGTCCTCATCTTCAAACACCTATCCCTCCAAGCAGCAAATAATTACTCACAGAAACCTTCACAACTTGAACCCTGCTCCTTTCCACTCTGCAACTGACCAACTCTATGACAGAATCTCTCCCCTGTCTTGCCCTGACCTGGCCACTGCTGTCTACAACAGTTTGCTTTCATCCACACTAGACTCACTTGCTCCTCTAACAACACAAAGCATCAGGCCCCGACCATTACAACCTTGGCAGACTGACAACACCAGAACTCTTAAAGGACATAGTCGTGCGCTGGAGCAATTGTGGTGTAAAACCAAATCTCACCAAGCTTTCACCCTATATAAATCTGCTTTCTTAATATACAATTCCTCCCTCCATGCTGCCAAACAAGCCTACTTTGTCACTCTCATCAATAGCTTGTCATCCAGTCCTCATCGTCTCTTCTCCACTTTTAACGTTCTACTTTCTCCACCTCCACCTCCACCTGGTACCTCATTCACTGCTTATGAGATTGCAAATCATTTCAAAAACAAGATTGGTGCAATTCGTAGGGGCATCGCCACTGCACAGACATCCATCCCACTTAGCATACCTTATACTAAACCTCCCTCAACACTTTTCTCTTTTGACCTTGCTACTACTGAAGAGGTCACTAAGGTTTTCTCAGAAGCCCGTCTCACTACCTGCCCCCTGGATCCTGTCCCCTCACAACTACTACGGTCACCCTCTTCTTCCTTCCTATGCTCCCTCACTCACATCTTCAATCTCTCCCTTTCTAACGGTGCCTTCCCCTCCCCTCTAAAGCATGCACACATCAATCCCATACTTAAAAAGCCCTCCCTGGACCCCACCAACCTGAACAACTTAAGACCCATCTCCCTGCTCCTGTTTACCTCTAAACTCTTAGAATGCTTACTCTACAATCACCTGAGCTCCTACCTCACTGACAACAACCTTCTTGACCCTTTACAGTCTGGCTTTCACTCACTACACTCCACTGAAACTGCCCTGCTAAAACTCACTAATGATCTACTAACTGCTAAAACCAATGGCCACTACTCTGTACTACTTGACCTCTCCACGGCTTTTGATACTGTTGACCATCCCCTCCTCCTCAAAAAAACTCCACTCTCTTGGCCTCCGAGACTTTGCTCTCTCCTGGTTCTCCTCCTACCTATTGCAGTGCTCCTTCAGCATTACCTATAACTCTGGCTCCTCCTCTCCACTCCCTCTTTCTGTAGGGGTCCCTCAAGGTTCTGTCCTTGGACCCCTACTCTTCTCCATCTACACCTCCTCCCTTGGTCACTTGATAAAGTCCCATGGCTTTAAGTACCATCTCTATGCTGATAACACACAAATCTATCTTTCTACTCCTGACCTCACCCCTACAGTCTCCTCTCGCATTACAAACCTACTAAGCGACATATCGGCATGGATGTCACTCCACTTCCTCAAACTCAATCTTTCCAAAACTGAGCTCTTAGTATTCCCCCCAGCCTGTGCCCCCTCCCCTGACTTCTCCATCAAGATCAATAACACAACCATCAGTTCCTCCCCTCATGCCAGGGTTCTAGGTGTAATCCTAGACTCCTATCTGTCCTTTCAGCCCCAAATCCAATCACTGTTCAAATCTTGTAGACTTGTAGGCTATCCCGTCTTCAGTCTATCATGAATGCTGCTGCTAGACTCATCCACCTTACTAACCATTCTGTATCTGCCATCCCTCTCTGCCAATCCCTCCACTGGTTTCCATTGCCCAATGGATAAAATTCAAAACATTAACAATAACATATAAAGCCATTTATAACTCACCAATCTTGTCTTCAAATATCCACCAAACCGTACTTTCCACTCCTCACACGACCTACTGCTCTCTAGCTCCCTTGTCTCCTCCACCCATGCTCATCTCCAGGACTTCTCCAGAGCTTCCTCCATCCTCTGGAAACTCTCTGCCCCAATTTATCAGACTATCGCCTACTCTGCTCACTTTTAGGCAATCTCTGAAAACCTCTCTCTTCAGGGAAACCTATCCTGCCCTCAGCTAATAATGGAATCTTCTATTCCTCCTACCAGCCCATCCCCCATAGCTACTACCTTTTGTACCACTAGCCCCTCCCTCTTAGATTGTAAGCTCTTGTATTGAACTGTATTGTTACGGTATTGTCTCCCGTTATATTGTAAAGCGCTGAGCAAACTGTTGGCGCTATATAAATCCTGTATAATAATGTGAGGCTGGAGGCAGGAACATGTGAGGGGCCCAGATGCAGAGGGGTTCACCTATAGACAGAGGACCTTGGAAGGTGGAAAACTTGGGAGTTAAGGGAAGGAGCACCCCAGCAGAAGGCCTGGTAGCAGCCACCGACCCACCGTCAACACCGGAGAGAGACCAAGTGAGTAAACCTGCACCCCCTGGGCAAGTAAGGGGAAAGGAGCATTCTAATAGGGAACTGGACTTGCTATCTTACACAGCAACTCTTTCACACTGCAGTGGTAGGCACTGGATCTCCTGCCCAAGGATTCACCCAGTACAGCTGGATGAGGAGTGGAGTCATCTGGGGTCTGGGGTGGTACTACAGGAGATGCTGGCTAGCTCTCCAAAAAGAAACTAAGGAGCTAAGGCTCCTCGGTTGCCATTCCCTTGGGCATCCCATACACTCCTTTACCGCATCAAAGTTCTAAACCCTTCAATAAAACTTCAAAACAAAGCTCAAGAACTGGTACTGTCTCCTACTGCAAGTCTGAGTAACAGAAATGTGTGTTGCCTGGTTGTGCAGGACTATAGGAGGACCCAAATCTCTTGCAACTCCTAAGAGGGTAGTGCTACTTTTAATTTGCAGGATTTCTTCTCACATTCTGTTTGTCTATGGGGGAGGACATGAAGGGAAATCTCTGCAATGTGAGACAGATTGCATAAACAAATCTGATGGGGTATAACCCTCCTATGCTCTATCCAAAGTGAAAAAACATTTTCCTATAGTTCTACTTTAACATAATAGCCATATAAATATTTATATTGCTTGGTACTATGTAATAATTCTGATATCTAGTACTCTCTGAACAAGGTGACTGATATGAGTTAGTGTACTTTGCACATTGGTCTTTGCTGTATTAAACAGGTGAAATTTGTCTGTACAAACACTTGGATTCATCACCAGGTACTGCTATTATTGATGCCTTTGTTTGCTGGAATTACTTTGTAAGTGATCCATGGGTTTTAGATTCTTATAAATCAGTCTACATCCCTAATCCATTCTTTGAGGCTCCGGAGTCTGGTCGAATGGCAGTGTTTAGAAATAAGATATTTTTGCTGCATTAATTAAACCGTAAACACTGTGTAACCATCCAGTTTATGATTTTGTAATCGATATTCGGAAGAGACTGGAGAAGGGTGTGACAAATAGTCCAGTCATTTTATTAATCTGATGTGTAATTGTTTTCTAGAGTACTAATATTTTAAAACAGGAGGACCAGCCATGTCAAAATGCTGATCTTTTATGCCACTTTTATTGGAGGGTCATGAACATTTAAATTGCAGATGTAATCTAAAATGGAAAAGACAGTCGTCTTCAACACTCACCTTCTGGAAATTATTACTAAACTCAGCATCTAATTTGTTTAAAGAGTAGTGATGGGCCGAACACCCCCTGTGTTCAGTTCACGGTTGAACATTTCAACCTAACGAAAGTTCGACCATGAACTTTGAACTCAATGCAAGTCTATGGAAATCAAACTTTTAAATTTAAAAGTGCCCAAGGCTTTTATGCAAGTTATTGGCCATAGAAGAGGTATGGGGACTTTGGGTATTGCCCTGAGGTACATGAATCACTGAAAAAAAAATTCAAAAATTAATTGCTTAAAGTAAAAAAAAAAAAAAAAAAAAATTCCTTCTGCCATTTTTTGTGATACTGCACTACGTTACTTTAACTGACAATTGCGTGGTCATGCAACATTGTACATAAATTATATTTATGTCCTTTTTTCCCACAAATAGAGCTTTCTTTCAGTGGCATTTGATCACCTGTGCGTTTTTATTATTTGTGCTATAAACAAAAAAAAGAGACAATTTTGAAAAAAAAAAAACAATATTTTTGACTGTTTGCTATAAAATATCCAGCAAAAAAAAAAAAAAAAAAAATCACATTTCGTCATAAATTTAGGCCAAAATGTATGCTGCTACACGTTTTTGTTAAAAAAATCCCAATATATAAATTAATTGGTTTACGTGAAAATTATAGAGTCTACAAATGGCAGTACTGGAATTTTAATTAAACATTTTTTATACTAGCAATGGTGGCGATCGGCGACTTATAGCAGGACTGCAGCAGGCATTCTGACACTGGGTGGGAACTGACTGTCACTGACATCCCCAGTGACACTAATACAGTGATCAGTGCTAATAAAAAGCACTGACACTGTACTAATGACACTGGGCAGGAAGGGGTTAACATCTGTGGCGATCAAAGGTTTAACTGTGTATTGTGTGCTGTTTTACATCATGTGCTGTGTGTGATATACTAGGGAAACATGCTGCTGTGCAGATAAATACACAGCAGCATGTGCATGCTGGCAGGAGAGAGACGTGTACTGTTTATACACAGGTCTCAACTCTTGTCAGTTTTACTCGGCGATCGTGCTGGCGGGAAGTCTCTGGCCCAGTGATTAACATGCCTAGACGCCAATGGTGGCGAAGTTTGATCGGCACGCATGCCCACTACCTGGAGATTCTAATCACGTATATATACGTGATTTTGTGCAGTTCTGCCGCCCTATAGCAGTGCTTCTACTGTAGGGCAGCGGGCAAGCGGTTAAATATCATGTCTGGGGGGTCCCCGTGTAAAAAACCTGCAAAGCTGCACATCTGTATAATGTATAAAACCTGCTGCAGCAGGACTGACATTTTTTTTTAAGTGGCATATATATATATATATACTCTATATATATATATATATATATATATATATATATATATATATATAAAACAGCTTGCCCCCCCCCCTCTCCCCATCCATACCAGACCCTTTAGGTCTGGTAGGAAGGTTAGGAGGGACCCCACAGTAAAAATTATTTTTGTTAAAAGTGTGTGGGGTTCCTCTTAAAAGCCATACCAGGCCTTTTAGGGACAAGAAATATGTAGGGCCCAAAAATTTTTAGGCCCAAAAAATGAGGGGGACAAAAAAAATGGTTCCAGCGCGTTGTATCCATAGTCAATCACGGCATACAATTGGGCGGAGTTAGCAGTGACGTTACTGCTAGCTCCGCCCAATTGCTTACTCTGACTCGCAAATTTCAGATTACGGAGAGCTCTTGGCGGGTGCGCACAGGTTGGGTTTTTTTTATTTTGGCAAGTTATCATCTTCATGACAATGCTGAACGCCAAGATTGACAATGGATTACAATGCTGGAAAAAAAAAGTTTTTTGCCTTTTTTTTTAAAGCACTTTTCAGAAACAGTTTTTTTTTTTTCTTTCAATAAAGGATTTTTTCAAAAGTCTGGTCTCTTTGTTTTTTCTCAATTGTAACCCATTAGTGAATACCTCTTACTCATTCACAAGGGGGAGGGGCTCTTCAGGGTGCCCCCTTATTTAAAGAGGTACCCAGATGCTAATAAGCTCCGCTGTCCGCAGACCCCCACAACCACTGGAACCACTGGGCAAAACATGTGGGGAGGAGTGAGGCCCTTGTCCCCATCAGCATGGGGACAAAAAATAAAATACAATTTACTATGGGCTCCCGCCTAATCTTCCCCCCGTCCCCATGCCCTGGTAGTGCTTTTTAATGGGAACTCCACGCACTTTAAAAATAAAAATACAATTTACTATGGGCTCCCGCCTAATCTTCCTAACAGTCCTTTTTTAACTACTTGCCCTCCTGAGGATTTTACCCCCCTTCCTGAGTGCATGTGGCTTGGTAAGGTGTGTGGGGGTGCTCATTTGGCCCCCTTTCCTTTCCTGGCCTTTCAGGCCTGTGCTTGGATGAAGGGTCTATGGTATAGATACTGCAATTTACGACATTTTTTTGCTATACAGCGCTGCGCTAGTTTAACGGACAATTGCACGGTCATGCAATATGGTACATAAATTAAATTTATGTCCTTTTTTCACACAAATAGAACTTTCTTTTGGTAATATTTGATCACCTGTGCGCTTTTTATTTTTGGCGCTATAACCAGAAAAAATTTTGAAGAAAAAAAAAAACATTTTTGAAAAAAACAATATTTTCTCATTTCTGTCATAAAAAATATCCAAAAAAACTAAAATTTCGTCATAAATTTAGGCCAAAATGTATTCTGCTACATGTTTTTGGTTAAAAAAATCCCAGTAAGTGTATATTTTTATTGTTTTATGTGAAAGTTATAGCGTCTACAAACTATGGTATAGATAATGGAATTTACACAGCTTTTACTTTCTGACTGCCCATCACATTTCTTGAGGTGCTAAAATACCAGGATAGTACAAACACCCTCAAATGACCCCTTTTAAGAAAGTAGACACCCTAAGCTATCTGCTGAGAGGCATATTGAGTCCATGGAAGATTTATTTTTTTTCCACAAGTTTCTGGAAAATGACAAAAACATTTTTTTTTTACACAAAGTTGTCATTTAAATGATTTATTTCTCGCACAAGCCATGGGTATATGTGGAATTACACCCCAAAAAAAACCATTCTGCTACTTTTACCGAGTATGGGGATACCACGTGTGTGAGACTTTTTGGGAGCCTAGCCACATTCAGGAGCCTGAAATCCAATGACCACTTTAAAAACCTGAAGGTGCGTAATTTCCTTATTACACTTCCTCACTACTTATCACAGTTTCAAAGGCCCTGACATGCCAGGATAGCACCAAACCCCCCCAAATGACTCCATTCTGGAAAGTAGGCACCCCAAGGAATTTAAAAAGAGGCATGGTGAGTATTTTGCAGGTCTAATTTTTCCTCACAAGGTTTTGAAATATAAAAAAAGAATAGAAAAAATATGTTTTTGTTTTTCTTCTTCATTTTCTAAAAACTTGTGGCAACAAATGAGATCTGCAAAATACTTACCGTGCTTCTTATAAAATTCCTTGGGGTGTCTACTTTCCAAAAAGGGGTCATTTGGGGGGGGGGGGGGTTAGGTGCTATCCTGGCATTTCAGGGACTCCAAAACTGTGATAGGTAGTCTGGAAGTGTAATGAGGAAATAAAGCCCTTTAAAAGCCTGAAGGTGCTTATTGGATTTGGGGTCCTGTACTTGGCTAGACTGCCAAAACGTCTCTCACATGTGGTACCCCCATACTCGGGAGAAGTAGCAGAATGTATTTTGGGTAGTAATTCCACATATACCCGTGGCATGTGTGAGTAGTAAATCATTTAAGTGACAATTTTGTGTAAAAAAAAAAAAAAAAAAACTTGTAGTAAAAAATATAAATTCTTCTATTGATTCAACATGCCTCTCAGCAAATAGTTTGGGGTGTCTACTTTCCAAAATGGGGTTGTTTTGGGGGGTGGGGGGACATTCTATGCCCAGCATTAGAAGTTTATGCCACACATCATTCACTCTTCTAACCACCTGAAGATCAAGCCTTTCTGACACTTTTTGTTCACATGAAAAAAATCTGTATTTTTTGCTAGGAAATTAATTTAACCCCCCAAACATTATATATTTTTTTTAAAGCAGACACCCTAGTGAATAAAATGGTGGGTATTACAATTTTTTATGGCACATAGTACTCGCACAGCGATTTTTCAAAAGCAAATTTTTTGAAAAAAATACACTTTTTTTACTTTTAATGCACAAAAACACAATATATTGGCAAATTATTTGGTAAAATATAAAAGATAATGGTATGCCGAGTAAATAGATACCAAACATGACATGCTTTACAACTGCGCATGTCCCGTGCAATGGCGACAAACTGCAAACATTTTTAATATCCATAGGCAACGCTTTAAAAGCCTTTAAAAGCTACCATGTTAGATTTACAGAGGAAGTCTAGTGTTAGAATTACTGCCCTTGATTATGACGTTCACGGCGATACCTCACATGTATGGTGCAACTGCTGTTTACATACCGGCACAGGGTCAAGGCTTGTGCACACAGGTGTGCACGCATGGGAGGGGCAATTTTTTTTTTTTTAGTTATTTTGATTTTCTTTTATTATTTTTACATTGTAACTTTCATTTTTTTTTATCACTTTTAATGCTATAACAAGGAATGCAAATATCCCCTATAACTTCAATGGGCATTGTCATATATTCTTTTTTAAGAAATCTGGGGTCTATCAGACTCTGGATATCTCCTCTGCCCTTACATTATCTAATCAAACCAAATCATGCGACTTGGTGTCTCACAAGTCGGATCCCAAGTCGCGGCAGTGTGAACCAAGCCTTAGTGTCAGTGTTAGTGTGTTGTAGGTAGAAACAAAAAAAACAAAATGTGCACTATTTCTGGGCTGTACTATGGGTACAAACAACAAATATACACATATGTGGTATCGCTGCGATCGTCAGGAGCTGGAGAATGTACTTTGGGTTGTTTTTTTTGGTGGTAGATTATGGTAGTAACAAGAAACACACAGCTAAATGTTAAAAAAAAATATTTATTTTACTTTTTGGGGCCAGCTTTCCTTTTACCAACACTTGTCAAAGTTGAAAAATTTTACTTAGGCATTAAGATTTGTGTTACCCTTAGAAGTGAAAGGTTTAAAATAAAAAAGAGGTTTATACTTACATATTATGTAAAAAACTTTTCGCGCTGCTACTAGAAAAGATCCCCCTGATGAAGTCACATGACCCGGTGACGCAACGCGTAGGGGAAGGACTCTGACATCACGACGTTTGTCTCGGATAAGCACGGCGAGTATAGCAGACACTGCAGGCTATGCTCTCACTATCCCAGATCATTGCAAATTACACAAATGTGAGTGGAATATTGAACAGCAATAAATTACAATTTTAAAAAGGATAAGGCACCATGGTTTCTGTTTTCTCTTATGATACCCATCTGTGATACATCGGAGAGAGGCTAGTACAGGAGGAAGGAGACCCCTGGAGGGGAAAAGGGAGATATCCATCCATTTCCTTTACACAGCAGATCTATTGATTACAGAGACCCCAGGTGGAATAATACTAAACTACAACTATCCATTTGATATAGGGAGAAATCTCACACAGGAGGAATATGGTCTCATCAGTCCTATAAGGACAAAAAGCGAGTTTTGCCTATAAACTTAGGCAAAACATAAGGTGAGCGCATACTAAGATCACACTGCACTTGGATTTTGGGAGTGGTATTCCACATTTGAAATTTGAATTGGAAGAGGACTTTATGTGTATTTGTATATTGACTTTGGTTCACTGTTATTGATTTCAGATCTCACAAAGGATAATCAGCACAATAATTTATTTGATTTATTTAGGGTGCTATATGTATTATACATTAGACTTCTGATTTATATAGAATTTATAATTTTTGAAACAATA